AGAGAGCAGCTCCCTTTTGGGTGGAACATTGTTCTATAAAATAATTACACGACACCTATATGATTGTCTAACTAAGACAACCACGTAGCCGTTTCTAAGACAGGGATAACTCTCACTAGTCCAACAAGTGTGTGCAGTTAGCATCCGTGTCAGATAAACGACTGAACTACTTGGGATAAGTACAGCCGGTACCTTCTGAGTTAATAGCCAACAAACATTGGCGAATAAAGGGGAACATTCGGCTCCCGCCGCTTGATACCTCTACTACTCAGACAATAGTGGCGGCGACTAAGTAACGATCATGTTTACTTATAGTCACTCCTTAAAACTTGGTTTAAAACTAAAAAGGTGTTCATATGTCGCCTGTTCTTACTAAGTTCACATCAGAGACTAGCCGGCCTATGCCGCTTAGTGCCTCTACTACTTAAAACCATGGCAAGTAGGTAATCACTTTCTTACTTGGCAAATTTCAAAAAATATGACGGAACCGCCTACCTAGAGGGGAACCAGCCATCAAGATATGTTAGGGATCGGTTGGATAAATGGCCGACTGATCGCCTAGCCTAGAAACAGATAATCAGTCGTCCAGGGGCATAGGCAGTCCCTACATTATACCTGGCTACAACTATCGGCCATACAAAACAGTCGGTATGACATGCAACTGGATATCAGAGTTTCGACACTTAGCAAAGATAGCACAATTCGAAATTTTGATAGATAAGGCGACCTAAAAAGATGGTCGCTAAATTCTATTAACAGCCGGCTATAAAGACCGGCACAAATATTCAAGACCCCGGCCCCTTGGCCGGGTAAAAAAGAAACAGACGACACGCAGGCCGAAGAAAAAAAAAGAGGACATAAGCTTAGGATGGGGGCAGATCTTCAACAATAGCAGCCGCCGCCTGATCAGCATTTTTCTTGCTTGATTCGGCCTCAGCTGCACCATCCTTGGACGCATCTACCCCAATCGGCACCAAGGCCACAATCGGATCCTCAGCAGCCGCCAGGACCTCTTGGTTATACCTTTCAGAGCATTGGCGAAATTGTTTTTCCCAAGAGGCAAAGTCGGCATTTGGAAAGAGGCGGCTCCAGGTCATGCGCTGGATATGGGCTGAGTCCTCCATCATCTCTCGGACCAAATCCTTCTTCTCTTGCTCAGCCTTTGCCGAGAGCTCTTCGGTGAGACTCTTCTCCTGGGTTTCCAGGCGTTCCTTGACATGCGCCAAGGATTTCTCCAAGGTATCGTATGAGGACATTTTTTTATGAAGAGGCCTCAGCTCGGCTTTGAGGTTCTGGATGGTCGCCTCCAACTCATTATTTTTCTTCTGGGCCGCCTCCAACTAAGCCCGGATAGCAGAAGTGGCCTGCGCCTGATAATAAAGAATATCAGTTGTCAAAATTTCATTTTGGGCAGTTTGAAACATTGTCTTATCACAGTCAGAGGCGGCCATAGCTTTAGCAGCCTTTACCTCTTTGTTCTTCTCATTAAAGGGCTTGCGAAGGCCGTTTACTCGGAGCAGGGACTGAGTAAAAGAAAACAGGTGTCATATTTCAAATAAAAAACAAATGTCCTGGAATTAACAACAAAAATATGCCATGTATACCTCAGCAAGAAGCCCTACTATTCCATCCAGGTCAAGGGTACCGACACCCCTGACCGCCTCTCTCTCTGCCGGAGGGACGACTTTGATCATGGACTTGGCCACTTCGACCAGGTCCGGTTCCTGAGGGCCGCCTGCATCAAGAGTGAACAAGAATGTTAGAGAAAGCAAAAGGAAAGTAGGTCCAAATCTAGAAGGGCAGTTTCATACTTCTAGGCGGCCTACTAGGAGTTTGAGAAGGAGTGGTCGGCTGTTTCCTGGCAGTACCAGGAGAACTCGCAACAGTCGTCTTCCGGGCCTTGGAGTCCGGCTGTTGGGAGGAGGAAGTTCTTGGTGTGCCCGTCTATAAAAAAAAAAAAAACACAAACGGTTAGTACATGTATCAATCCAACCTTTTTAACATAAAAAGGAGAAAGGCGAAAGCTGGGAACTTACTAAGGGCGTCTCCTTGTTGGGAGAGTCAGCTGAAGATTGTTGCTGCATGAGGGATGCACGCAACATAGCAGCCGCAGTCTTTGAGGCGGTAATCTTGCTCATGGCTTCCGCTGCATGAATAAAGGCGAAAGTTAGGAAAGTTCATAAAAATAATTCCTGCAAAAGCATGTATTCGTCAGGCCGGCTACTTCTTGAGCACCGACTGCTGAGGCCACAGGCGGCCAGGAAGTACTCGTCATAGAGCCATTTGTAGCTCGGGACGCAGTGCAGGGGTACTTGCTCTCGTACCCCTGTAGTAGAGTCGACCCTGGTCTCTACTTTAAAGAGTCCTCGGTCTAGGATCTCTTTTTTAGCTTTTGGAGGAACAGGCGGCATGCTGCGAGCGCCTGCAAGAAGAGGCGGATCTCGGTTCCACCTGTTGAAGCGTTGGTTCAGCTCCTTGTCTGAACTCTTAATGATGAGGAAGGTGCTTCTCCAATCCTTCCATTTGTTTTCTTTACCTCTTGTCATGAGGTAGCCTCTGTGGCTCGTCAATTGGTACCAGCCGGTACCGCCTGCCGTAGGGATCCGGCTGAGATAATCCATGTGAGATAAAGCCTCGAAATTTGGCTCCACCCCATACATTTCGCACCCGGCTACATAGCCGAGAACGTTGAACCAGGAATTTGGGGCTAACTGCCATAACCCCAACTCATATCCGTCCAGGATCCGCTGAACGGCCGGATGTAAGGGGAAGCGCAGCCCAGCTTTGATGGCCGCCTCATAGCAGCCAAAGCAGGCGCTATCGTAACTGGTCCCAGCCGGCCAGACGACTGTGTCTTCCAGATCCGGCACAAAAACTAAAAAGCCAGGGCCCATTACATAGTTTGCAATAAAGCTCCCTACTTTCTCTTGCATGGCCTTGATCCGGCCTTTTGGAACCGTGCAGTAGTAGGGGGTGTTTTGCTCTCTATAGGTGGCGGATGGCTCCGCCCAATTGCCCCCTTTCTCTACTGCATGAGAAAGCCTCGCCTCTTGCAGGCGGTTGTGCCTCTCCTCTGTGTCTAGAGAAGGATGGTCGGATGAACTAGAGTCGGACTCGTCCTCTGAAGAGTCCGAAGAGGACGACTCCTCCCCTCTCCCAGAGGGGCCCGCCTCCTCTCCTTCAACAGGAGCGGGAGAAAATGTAGACATGTCTACTGTAAAATGGGAAGGGACCACCTTGGTCCCTCCCTCAGAGTTGTCGGCGGCCAAGCCGCCTTGGTTCACTTCAACATCTGGCGCTTGATCAGATGTCTCACTAATCGGCACCTGGTAGGAGGAGCCGTCCGAATTTGTGATCCTAGCAGTTCTTTTTGTTCTGGCCATTATGTTCTGCATAGACACAGAGACAGTCGGACTTTGTATAAAGGGCCAAGATTGGTTCGAAAAAGGGCAGGCGGCACTCTTAGTCCTAGACTCAGCCGTCCCCGGTGACCGGCTGATCACTAACCTAGGTCGTGTCGTGTGCTTCCGTGGTGCCATTTCAAAAAGGAAAAAATAAAGTAAAAGAATGAGAGAACCGACGGTTACCTGAACGAGTGAGAAGTTGACGAAAATCTGGAAAGTCTGAGTATCAGCCGACTTGACAGAGCAGGCAGTAGGCAGGAAATGTCCGGAATGTCAGAGCAGGTTCAGGGGTCCGAGTGTTCTCTTATAGAAGTTCTCAAGTGTGAAAATATCTGAAGTCAACACGCCCTTATATAGGCAAAATGAGAAGACGAAGGGTCACTCCCAAATTCAAAATTTGAGCGGGAAAAACTCTCGGCCTTTCACCAAGTGACACCTGTAGCAGGCTGTCGCCTGTTACGATCCGACACCTGTCACATGTAACACGTGACCAGTCACGTGCCACCTGTGAGGGGCAAATGATTAGGGAATTTTTCCCACTAATCACCATCTGACAAGTGGACCAATCAGGTTCCGCCACGTGTCCTTCATGTGGGCAAATAGGAGCCTGACACGTGTCAGTCAGTGATCCGTCCACCATGGACCAATTGCGACACGACACGTGTCCACCCCATGACACATGGGTTAACCGGCCAACAAGGCCCTGAGGGAGGCCCAGTCAGCCCAAGGTTTAACCTAAACCTAGAGAGTGGCACGCTTCCCAAGTTTATAAATACCTTCATTAATCCTCATTAAAGGGGATTACGCACATTAAACACTCTCACCTAGAGAGACTCATTTACCTTTTTTCCGCATTAATTACTCCCTAAACAAGTACTAACTTGACCGTTGGAGGCGGAACTCCAATCACTCGGAGTATCCGTTTGTTTTGCAGGTACAGGCGTCCGGTTCCAGTCTCGGAATTGTAACTCTCCCGCAAGACATCAGAAAACCCCGAAACATATGTCATCCTCTTTTTATTTTGTCAAATACCGATACCAAATTTATTTCTAACCCCTTTTTAAATAAATTCGTTAATGGTGTATGAAACTTAAGTGAAAATTGATATTTAAACATTTTTTTTCTTCAAATTGCTATTTCCATAAAAAGGGTTGGAAAATTATATTCATGGAATTTTTTTTTAAAAAAAATAACCAGAAAAAACAAATTAAATTAAGTATTTGCTAGTAATTTGTCGGATTTTTATTATTTATTAAGTTTATTGTCACCTAAGATTATTTTTTTACCAAATTGTCGCTTAGGGTTAGCGTTTTTTTACCAATTTGACGCAAGAGTTATTATTATTTATTTATTTTTACCATATTGTCGGTAGGAGTCTATTTTATTTACCAATCTGCTCAATTGGACAAAAGTTGAATCACAAATTTTCTAACATACTCACCATCTCAGCATCCATCTCATATCAGAGAGGGGTTGCCTCTTCCAGTAGCCCATAGATTTCCACAAGAATGATTTTCTCAGCAAAAATGTTAACAAGACAGAATACACAGACAATAGCTTATTGCTTTGCTTCACAAAAGACAACTGAACACAAAATGAACCAAGAGCTTGATTGCTTGAATGCTAGATAGCCTAAAGTTGTCTCTGCTACACATTGGCAAAATAAGATGTATTCACTACAATCGAGAGCTTATTAGTAGTATATACGAACATTCTCTATTATTGATAGCTAAAAATTCATGTGAGTAGAAGCATAATCTGTGAGTCTATCAAATGACCATTGATTTACAAATATCCACAGCTACTTCTTTACATCCAACTAAGATTCCAACAGCTAACCTTTATATCCTACTAAAAAAGATCCATGTACAAGGCATGATATCAACCAAACCAGGAAATTCTACTGAAGAGTGAAGACCATCCACAATTGTTTGTAGCAAGAAGACCATGCTCATTGCTTAATGGTAGCTAAGAACAAGTGAATTTCAGGAACTCTGGCACCAGCTCTCTTCATCAGCCCTGTAAAATTGTAGCAACTTCAAGTGGGCCACCTTTCCCTGACAGTAAAAATTTTCATACAGGATATCAATCTTCACTTTAGAGTCAATAGTCAATAATGCGGAAGGTACTAATTATCCATACTAAATACCTCAGCATCATCTACTTGTGCTGGAAACAAAAATCCCGTTGAGCAATTCTCCAACACTTCTGGATCTTTCATCCATGCTCTATGTGTATTGCTCACCTTAATTTTATATTTGAACATCTAAAAAAGAAAAGGGCAGTTAGATTCGGATAATAATCTGCTGATAGAGTTTATCTGCATTGAGATGATGAATTCACACAATTTCCCATTGGAAAATAGATTAAATGAATAGATTAAAATCAATTAACCAAAATAGGACCAGCATGAAAATAAGAATCATATGGAAAACTAAAGAGAAGTATAAACTTGAGTAGCAATAATGAAGGTATAAAACTTGGATGTTGAGAACAAACCTCTGAAAGAGGTACGTTCGGTTGTTCCAAATTATCTCCTTCAATGTGCAAGCCGGTGCCTTGGCAATCTGGGCAAAACACTGAATTGATTTGGTCACTGGATGTCTTCTCTTCACTTTCCTTCCTTGTTTGCTTGTGCTTGACAACATTATCTGCTTTGCACTCTGTCTCCAACTGATTGACTTTAGATTTTGTCCTTTTTGATCTGCGCCTCACTTTGGGAAGCACTGGCGGCTTCATGAACATCTCATGCTCACATAGTAGTATCCAGTGAATGAGGCAGGAAGTATGGAATACATGGAATGCCTACCAGAAATCATATCAGAGAAATTTTAGTTGGTGTGTCAAGATAAGTTTTTCCCACCCTTTCCCACTCATTCTTTCTGCCTCTCCTTATTACTTAGGTTGGGGAAGGGGGAATACTTACTACTTAGGTAGGATGAAGGATCTGCCATAAAACTCTCTCAGAAATGTGTTTTCAAAGTTGTTAGATATTAGTCTACTTTGACACTATAGATAAAAGAACACCAAGTATAATATACAATCAGTAACGAAATTCATTTTGTTTTATATAACCTCAACACCTGATAAATGATGACAGATTGACAAACAATAAAAGGTGGACTTACCCCATGCACATTTCTGCTAGAGCATGCAAATCGTCCAGTAGTCAGATTCAACAGAGTAGCTACATCTTTTCCAGGCAACATTTTGTGTTGACAGATGTCACACATTTTCTCAGATGCTGTTCGGCGCTGCTTTCTTAATTGTCGCCTTAAAGATTTGTTAGAAATGATCCTAGACTGTAGAATTTGGTCATCATAACGATGAAAAAGCAAAGCTGAACTCGTTGTGGTAGATGAACTTTGAGAATCCTCCCCGGATGAATAACACTGTTGGCTCAATGCCTCGTTAACATCTTCTGAATCAGATGTTGATTTCTTTCTTCTCTTCGTAGAGCCACCATCATTACTACTATCCTCCCCACCAGTAATCAATAAAGTCTTAATATCGTCAAACAGCCCCTGTCTTCCCAAGTCATAATAGTAAACAAAAGTCACAATAGCAAAGTCATGTGAAGGCAGAATAGAGTGTATATTATTACTTGCACCGCCCCTCTTCCCCAACCATTCACACCAAAGTCGTTGAATACCACTATGAACCCCATCCTTTTCCGAAATCCTTGCAGAAATCTTCCCATATCCTATTAGTCTCACATGTAGGTCAGATACTTCTTCCTTGCCAATAACCCCGGGAATTACCAACTCATTAGCAAAGTCTGCATCATGAGGCTGAAAATCATCACCTAAACAATCATCCCTACTGTCCTCATTCCCATTTGTATGCCCATCACCAACTGATTTTGAGACATCGCTGTAAATAACGATAGCAAGATTGCTCGAATGTTCATGACCATTCAACAACTTATTTTTCTCATAGCCTTGAGATGGCGCATCTTTCTCTTCTTCATCAGAGTTATGAAAGAAAAGAACACCGTCGTTAAAAGGCCAAGGATTCTCTCCTATCAATGTGGCCTTAGCTGCAGCATACCTCTGCTTATGGAGGTTCCCTTTCAAATGCTGAAGCAAAACATCCTCGCTATAACACGGCGCCAAACACAAGGTACAGAAAAAAATAAATCGCTTCCCATCTTCTCTAAGATCAACATATGTATGCCCCTGCAATCTAACATTCTTTAAGGTTTTCCTAGCAAGTTGTTCCTTTAAGTTTGGTGCACTCGGCTTTACAAACCCTAATTCCTTATCCGCCATCACCAATAGCTCAATTTCAAACAGAAATTGAAAATTCTACCAAATTTCCACAGCACAAACCCTAGAATCTACAGAAAAACTATAACGTAATCATATCAACATAAATCCCCAATTAACAGTACAATTACAACTAGATGTTCATAATTGCAGAAAAATTCAACGAAATCCAATTTTCTTGAACTAAAATTAGCTTCCAAAGATGGCGAAAAGGCTACGAGAAATCTTTAAAAGAAAAATAAAAATCAGATGAAATCTTAAAAGCGCCGAAACTTACAGCTTCGTATGTTGACAGATATTGAAGTTATGGGAGACGGTTGAGGTGGTCGAGGATCGAAAAAAGGTTCGCCATGGGAGAAAGATGAGGTTGAGGAGAGAGAAAGCTCCATCATCACCTCCATTTCTCTGAGTGCGAAGAAAATCCTGAGAGGTTCTTCAAGTGAAGATTCTGAAAGTTTCGACGGGAGAAGAAGTAGGAGGGGGAGTCGAGGAGAGAGAACAGAAATCAGACAGACAGAAAGGGGGGAAATTGAAATTGTTCGGAGGGTGAGACTTCAAAGAGAAAAAATGAGTGATTTAACGAATGATTTAATAGGGGATTCTTTTGGACAAATTTGATAACGCTAGCCTAACAATACGTTCTAACCCTTGTTATAAAGTAAAAATTTACCTCAACTTACCACTTTCACTCTTCACAAAAATTTTGACCGCCCTCTCTAGTGGTCACCGGCCATCGGTCAACCACCAACAACTAACAATAATTTTCAAAATTAACCAAATAATTTATATTTTGCAAATCAAATTCGTTGGATCTCATGGACGATGATGGACGGGGAACACCACCTACGATGCTCCCTGAAGCTTACGGAGTCAGTACGTCGTTTAAATTCTTTTGTTTTAAGTTTTTCCAGGCAACTGCCTAAAAATTTCGAATACCACAGGCTAAAACACCTTAGTTTTTCGAATACCGTCTAGATTTTTCGAATCTACCCAGGGTATTCGAAAAACTAGGCATTTTGCCAAAACCGCCCAGTTTTTTCGAACACCATAAGATGTTTCGAAAATTCTAGGCAATTCATTATAGGGTTTACGAAATATTTGGGAGTTTTAAATTTTTTTTTGGATTTTCCCGTATTTGTTAATATTATTGTTATTAGAATTATTTTTATTATTATTAATTGTGTTTTTAGAATGTTTATTATTTTTATTATTATTAATTGTGTTTTTAGAATGTTTATTATTATTATTATTATTATTATTATTATTATTATTATTATTATTATTATCTCAAAAACAGACAAAGTCATACAACCTACAATAAATTAGTGGGAAGCCAAGAAACAATCTGGGCCCCCACTCCTCTAGCTATAGCAAAGCCTACCCTAGTGAAGATATGAGCTGCAGCACGAGCCCCAATGTCTTGTGTCGTCGAGAACCTCTGAACCCGCTTTAGCAACTCAACAGCCTCCTTCTCTAATTCCCCAAGTGAAGATTATTATTATTATTATTATTAGTTGTGTGTTGTTAGAATTATTATTATTATTGTAGAATAATTTAGAGTATGGAAGATATAATTCATGTTTTCTAAGCTTGATTGACATGGTTATGGTGAAATTAATTAAGCAAAGCAAAGTAATAGAGCAAGTTTGACTCGGTAAAGAAGGAAGAACAACCGCCCAATTAGGCCATGCTCGCCCGACTGGGAACGGGAGTAAGCAAGTAAATTGCAGCTTTACCGCCAAGTAGGGCGAGCCTTCGCCCGGTTGGGCGTGAGGACAAAGATAGAAATTTGTGGTGCTGCCTGTAGAGGCAACCGCCGTTTGGGATGACGACCTTGATCATGCCAACGACTATTTTGGATGTTATGATGCGGCATTCAAAGCCGGCCTCCGATTCCCCCTCCATAATACAATAAAAGCTATTCTAAGAGGCTACGACCTTGGCGTTTGGCAATTACCACCCAATTCTTGGGTGAATATATTAGGATACATCGCCGCCTGCGAGATGCAGGACATAACGCTTAGCTGGGAGGCGTTTGCCCATATGCACTACCTCAGTCGTGCCCTAGGCAGCTGGATTGCGTGGTATACGTTGACCACGCATCCGGAATACATGATGATGCTTGATAAGCCGTCAAAGTGGAGCAGTTGGAAGAGCAAGTTTTACTTGGTTTCTTCCCCATCGTTGCATCTAAACCACCGGCTGCGTCACTACAACAAGCACCCGACTCTCCTAGAAAGAAATGCGCCCTTCCTAAAGTACCGGAAGAGGCTTGGATGCAAATAATGGAGACGGGGCTTTTCAAGAAGACCTCCATGCCTTTGGATGATGGGACTGAAGTTATTGTCCCCAAGAATTAGGTCCCTCATCCGGACTGGCTAAAGGACGAGGCGTTCCTTTCCGCCTGTGGCCTTAGCACAATGTTTAGCAGACGTATGTTGACTGATAACCGACACTTTATGACGTCTGTATCATGCTTGAATGGATTTTGACTGATTTTCTTCTTTGCAGAGAAAGGATTAGAGATGGTGCCTCCAGAGAAGACACCCGCTAAATCGGCTGCTCAGATCCGGAAGGATCCGTTAGGGAAGAAGAGGGCCCAACTGGCGGCCAAGGATGATGGGGTAAGCTCCGGCTGATATTACCGTCTGTATAGTTTGATGTCAATTATGATATTAACCGGTTGCTTTGTTTCTTTTTCAGACGGGGAGCAAGAATGTTCCTCGCTCCCTAACCAAGATGCTAAAAAGACCGGGCGAGGAGCCCTCCCAGCCTCCTTCCAAGTGCAGGAGGACTCCGGCTTTTCCTCCCGCTTCCGAAAGGCCGCATGTGCCTAAAAGGCCCACCTCAGCAGGCAAAAGCCTGAAATACCTTGGCCTAAACACAAGGCCGGCTGAGGTTAAAACGAGGGAGCTTGAAACTCCCTCAAGCCGGCATCTTGCTGTAGCGACCGGTTCCAATGCGGCTTGGGGTGGGATGACCCCTCAGCCTGAAAACGAAGGTATGGCTTTCACCTTTGATCCCCCATGGCCGCTTGGGCCTATGCGAGTCAAGTCCCAAGCTACCCAATCAGGAGATTCTTCAGGCAGCCGACAAAATGTAGGTGTCGCCTTTGCTTTATACTTAACAAAAAAATCAGTTGATGCAGATGCCTCTTCTTGTTGGCCTGACCTCCAACAATATGCCAAGAGGATGCTGAGGACCCTCACCCGGTCCGAAAAGGAGGCAGTGCCGGGTGTGCACCAGGTTAATATTGTCCGCATCAACTCGCTGCTTGCTGAGGTAATTGGCCGGTTGGGGTGCTTTTGTACAATTTACTCTTTTGCCGGTTGTAACATAATTGAGAGACTAACCCTTTTCCGGCTGGTTTTTTAGGTGATGTTAAGAGTAGACGGTCTCAAGGTTCCCTTGAGGAAGAAGCAAAAGGAGGTAAGAGATGCCAATAGGCGGGCGGCTGACCTTATTGACGTCACTCAATACAACACTTTAATGTATGAAATACAAACTAAAAGCCGGGAGATGAAATAGGAGGAGACAATCAAGGAGCTCACTGCAGCTGCTGACGCGACCAACAAGAAGGCGGCTGACTTTGAGCTGCAAGTTAAGAACCTCCAAGCTGACGTCAAAGTGCTGGGGGATGCCGACAAGGAGAACACCCAACTAAGGGCAGACGTCTCCCAGCTAAAGAACGAGCTGGCCTAGACGCAGGCTGACCACAAGGCCAAGCTGGAAGCCGAGCAGGACCGACTGGTAGCTAAAAATGAGCTGGACTGCGAGGCTCGCATGAAAATGGCCTAGACCCTCATCCACCCGGACACCGAATGAGAGTTTTTCGAGCTAAGGTATAAGTACACCATCGAGGTGTACGACGCTCAAACCCTTGGGCTTTAGAAGCCGGCTCCTTTCGAGGAATGGGCTGGCATTGTCGAGGAAGATGAGGAGGAGCAGGCGGAAGAACGAGCGCCGGGCGAGGCTAATGAAGCTCAACCTCAGCAAACTCAAGATGCTCCTCCATCCGGCCAGGGCCAGACGCCTCAGCCTCCCCAGCAGCAGTGAATCTTGATTGTTTTTCTTTTTCTATCTCTGGTCTGCGAGCCGAGTATTTCATGTATTCTTCTTTTCCCCGGACGTAGTTCCGGCTGAGAATGATATTTGATTAATAGAATTTGCCGACTGAGTCGGTTTTGCCCATATTTGCCTTTGATATAATTTGCTTCAATTTTTGCAATTTTTCTGGTATGCTCGTACAAATATTTTTCTTTTTGCAATTTAACTTAGCACATGCGGTATGCCGGATGCATTGGCTTTACCTGCCCCTGGACGGTTGTTTGCTTGATATTGCCCAACCTTAAGCAGGCAGCCGTCCAAACAAGCATCCGGACGGTTAGACAGACGGGTCATTAACCGTATCTAAAGAAGTAGAGTTATTCTCTAAGTTTGATTAGCAGACGGTGCCGGCTAGGACCAATCTAGACCATTCGTTTAACCGCTACGAGTTACCCTTTGGGTAGCTGTCATCGCCATTTGTTAGGATGCAGGCGGCCATTGGCCGGGCGTAGGCATCATAACCAGGTTATGAATTAACTGCTAAGGTTTTGACCTTGCTTAATTTAGGTTTGTAACATGTTGAAGTGCCTTTGGGAAAAGACCGGTTATATTTGGCCAAGATATCAGTTACCGTTTGTGTTGCTTTGAAGCAACGACCGGTTGTATCTAGGTTTCAATTGATTATTCAAACGGCTGTGAGTTATCTTTAACCTAAACAGTCGGTTAAATCCGCTTGAGTTATGATTTATAGAAAAATGTACCACCAAAATGGGAGATATTCTCTTTGACGAATTCACTCAAATGGGCGTCGCCGGTTGCCTGCTCATGTTGGAGAAGGCGGTTTGAAGACTATCCGGCCATTGGCCTTATAGATAGCTGCTAAGTTTGAGACTTAGCTTATATCTGCTCAATTTAGAGCAGACGTATGTCCGGTTTTGCATTGCACAGATGGGACTTTGTACAAGAAAACATAAATAAAGCATCTTTTTATTAACATACTCTATTTACAAAGATTTACTAGTCTTCAGAAGTAGTACTTTTTCAAGTTATCTACATTCCAAGTTTTGGCTACCTCCCTGCTGTCTGGAGTTTCCAGGTGGTAGGTGCCGCCTCTAACTTCTTCAAAAATCCGGTAGGGGCCTTCCCAATTGGGGGTTAGCTTTCCTTGCTCATTGGCCCTACCGGTGGCCTCCATTTTCCGTAACACAAAGTCCCCCACTTTCAAGGGCCGTTTGTGCACTCTTCTATTGTGGACATCCTTTGTCTTAATGCCCTTGGCCGCCTCTGCCTCAACCCATTTGGTGAAGTAATCTACAGCGACCAAGATGTACCTCCGTCCGCCTGTAGCAGGCGTATATGGAACTAGGATGTCCATGCCCCATTTTGAAAATGGAACCGGGTTGTAGATAGCCGTCAAATTAGTGGCCGGACGTTGTATGAGTTTGCCAAATCTTTGGCACTTGTCACACTTCTTCACCATTTCCATGGCGTCTGCCTCAAGAGTGGGCCAAAAGTAGCCTTGCTGCCTGGCCCTTTTTGCTAGAGTTCTGCCGCATATATTGAAAGGAATGGTGT